TCAATGAAAATACGATATACATCAATCTTGCGCAGAAAAAAATTAACTTTTCTTCATGCGCAATACGAATCTTTTGTATTAGAAATCAATAACGAAAGACAACTGTATTTACCTAAGTTAGTATATAAGTAACGCGTACACTGTAGCAGATCGATTACCCTTGGCAGTTTGAGCTATGAGCTAGTGTGAAGTATTGTCGAGAATAAAGAAGATTTGTTGAGTTCCAAAGAAGTTTCTTGGTTTTCTGCTGAGTCGTCCATGGAGTAAGGCAAAGAAACAAGTTCTCTGTGCCTCTGGCATCCCGTAAAGAGTGCGGGCTACCAAGCCAGTGGCTCAACCGAGTCATTTTCCAGTTCTGCAATGTTCCTTTGTGAAGATCACTACCTGAAAGTTACGAAAGTAACGACCCCCCGAAAGAAGCGATCCCCAGAAAGTAACGTCAAAACATTGCTGCCGCTAATAAATCCCGAGAGTAACGAACCCACTCAGCTTCCCCGCCCCCCTCCCCCCACCCCCACCGAAAATAGTCACGTGGAAGTTACCGTACGGTCATTTGAGTTAAGGCAATCTAGCTTTACAACTAGGGAAGGTATCGCTTATGCCACGAACCATTGTGAAATGTCATTTCGTGCTTCGTGAGTTCATGCTGCGCCGTGTTAAAACAAAAGCCGTAGAACAGGAACGTACTAGCATGAACTTTTTGAAAATTGAGAATTGAAAAGTCCATCATTTTCAATAAGAGCGAATTAAAAGGAACGCTTCGAATTTCAATTGAAAACTCGACCAACGTCTTGAGATGTTGTTTAAGCAGAATAACATAGCACTGCGTCATGAAGTAGAAACAGTTTACGGTATCTGATTAGCTTACCCGCCGACCACTGAGAACACGGTCTAGGTAGGAAGAGCGCACCCATGTGGCGGCAACATAGATTTAAATTTGAACGAAGAACTTAATCTGATATTTAAAGACCTGTTTTCACGAATTTCCGTCTTTTACTATGTTTGAAAGGACTCAATCGTACCAACTTTATAAAACGTTTTTTGCTCCCCGAAAGTAAAGGCGGCCTTCCCCCCTGAAAGTGGCTTGCGTAGCAAGCGTTCCCGTACAAAGAGCTTTTCCGCATTCTGGCCGCGCGTAAATTGGAGCGAGAGCAGAGTTTTTGTTCTCGCTCCAATTTACGCGCGTTCTTAATTTACACGCGGCCAGAATTCGGAAAAGCCACGCAGGCAACCCCGAAAGTAATAAGCCCCAAAGGCTGCTTATTCCGAAAGTAACGAGGGTCGTTACTTTCGTAAGTTTACGATGTATGCCAAACCATTTATCCGCTCAGCTGTCAAGTGTTTTGGTTGGTAACAGATATTTCAGTGCCCAGCTCCCAATGCAGGCGAACACTTGACCAGTGTTCCATAAGCCCTTTTCGTTACAACTGTGAGACGCAAAATCAAGACACTCTTTGGTGTGGGTTCTCTACGGAACCATCCCCAACACGGTTATTCTTGAGTCCAAAAAGGAAATACTCTGAACCTTGTCAGTCTGGCATGCGCGCTCTATTGAGTTGAATGTTACCGTCAATAGAGTTCAGATGCTGGTGGAAAAGTTCCGTGTCTTCTCTTTAAACACACGTTGAGTCGTCCAGACAGCTCCGCGATCAGCGAGGAGCAACTGGAGAGGTAGACATGGCCCGTGCCTCTATGTTGACCATGACAAGATCTGCGACCGCTGAGTTGCCTGGTGGCCCCATTGCCTACCGTTATCCACCGTTGATTCAACGGTAGAGAATTTTGAACTATCGACAGAAAGGTAAGAGAGTTGATCTCCCATATAGGCCTTATCTCCGAAGTAACCCCTAGCTCTCGAGTTATTGCTAAACATGGGACCCAGTTCTCTCGCGGATAATATTACCACGCGCGTTGCGTGGATGTTAATCTGTGTGAAAAGTCGCTTGGGCTGACCACGTGTGCAAAATCCACGTCACAGATCAGAAATCCCACAACAGTCGAGAAATAGCTAATTCTGTGACGCGGATTGTGCACACGTGCGATCATCAAGCACCCAAACATTTATATTATGAACAAATGACGATGCAGCACAACGAGCAAAGCCCATCCGAGACCTAAATCGTCTATTTTTGAGATGAAACAATTGTCTTTCCTTCACCTAGTTCACCTTGTTCAGGCAGACTAAATATGAAGTATATTATAGCCTCAAATGGAAAACCAGGGCTGAAAATATATCCCTGTATCACAGCAAAATTACAAGTTAGTTCGGCGGAATTCTCAGTCTCCGATCGTGTCACACGTGTAGTTGGCGTGCACTGCCACCACTTGCGTCAGAGGAAAAATAGTCCATTTGTCGAAATGACGCAGGATAACTCAGAGTCTGTTTGCTTTCATTTGATTAACAAACACATTTGCCTCCAAAAGATCAAACATTCATTATCAAATGGCACACTATAACGTGTCTGAAAGCAACAATTGTTCATGTGTATACATAAGCTGAAAAATAGTGTAGATCTCAATTTTCTGTCCAGTTAAACAAATTCAAGAAAAGCGAAATAAAATAAAAGATTGGGTTTGTGTCGATATGACAAACTAACAAGGCGATCATCAAGATCTCAAACATTCATGAACACATGACAGTGCAGTACCTCGAAGACCCGGGGTGGATTCTCAAGCCAGATGGAAGTTAAACGAATGTTTCTCGTAAACTTTCGCGGGTTTGGCTTCTCCTGCATGACCCGAATAACTGCTCCTGGATCTTCGAAGATGAGCAAAGCCGCCTAGAAGCTGTTTCATGAATGTCGACAGAAAAACATACTACTTGGATCTACTTGGTTTAATTCTGTGGACCTTCAGTGATGCCATCCGGAAGAATATTTCTAAGCGCGCAACTTCAAAGAAAACCACGGAAAACTATATATCATTGTAAAGTTAATAAACTGCAGAACCCAAAAATAACAATATATTTTGGCATTTTTGTTTGTAAGTAGGCACGCGCAAGCCTTTAAACGCAAAAAATGACCGTTCTTGCTTAAAAAAACTTTCAGGAAGCATAAGGCAGCGAACGAACAGAAGATGAAGAACTTCTTGGAGTTGTGATAACAGCTTTTTGGGCCGCTTAAGTTGTTATCCTTGTTAAAACCATCCAGAGGGAAACACGCTTGCAGCGACGTAGTTTGTCAGACTCCTAGAGGTTTCGGGATCTATTATAGCAAAACAATCCAACGGGAAGACAGAGAATACGCAGTTACTTGGCTCCAACAGTAGAGTTTAATCAATATCGTAATCAGAACGTAACCAATACGGGATAGTGGTATCCGGCGTCCAACCACCGGGGCGTAACCGAAGAACAATTTACAAAACACCTGTATTTATGCTAGACTCTAAACAAGTCATTTAATATGGTTATATGCATTGGTACACAAATTGATTAAGGGGTGTCCTTCTTAACCACAGATTTAGAGCTGTTGCTAAGGGTTGCTGAAGGCGATATTTAGAAGAAAACTATTTTGGAGCGTTTTGCAGTGCTAAATGGTGAATTTTATGAGGGAACATTTGCTTTGAAAAAAATGTTTTCGCGTGCGTAACTAGTGCCAGTCCGAAACGTCGCATTTAGAATTTTAAATCGCTAAAACTTGAAAGAAAAGAGGAAGAGTTTGGATTTTTCTTCTGAATCAGAAATAACTTAACCTTCTTTATAACCGTACGTATGGAATTACTGTTTACACGTAAAAGAGGAAAGCTACTGTAGAAAGTGTTAATACGGGGGTTTATTACCTCATAACTTTTATGATAATACGAGCCGTGTTTCATAAACCCCTACGTAGCATTAGGCATAGCTTTTAAGTTTTAGGGTTTGTTCTGTTCTGGTCGCGTGGGTGGCCAAATATGGCCGTGATTTGAAAATTTGGCAGGATTCTTCAATGAAACAAACCTGTACAAAAAGCTTATCCTTAGGAGGTCTGGCTTTCAACAGGAGCCCATTGGGCTCCTGCTTTCAAAATATGACAGTTAGAAACCTTCCTTAGCAACAAATTCATGGCCAATTGGTAGTTAAGAAGGGCCCTCCTTAATCGCCTAGACCGTTAACTGCTAAAACAAATTAACAAAATGACGTAACGGTGAGCTAATAGCAATCATCAGAAAAGTTTTTTCTTAGCTTTAGCTGTTAGCTCAACACTTAGAGTTATCTGCATTGGTAAACAAATTCATTTATCTCCTAGAATTAACTGCTAAAACAAATTAACTAATGACGCGACGGTGAGCCAATAGCTAAAGCTAAGAAAACACTTTTCTGATGTTTGCAAACCGAGGTTGTAGAACGAAGCAAGAATAAATAAACCTAACCAAGGTTTTATTTGGTGGTTCTTTTTTACAAAACAAGACATGCGCTTTATTAGGCTAGATATGTGATATGCTTAGCCCACTCAACAGTCCTTTTAAAAAGAGTTTAACTCAAAGGTTAAGGTTCCTCTTTATAAGAAAGAAACATTTATATTATTTTACAACTGCGAAACTGATTTGTGATTACAGAGCGAAAACGCATGATCAAACACAAAACAAACTTAAGTTTTCTTTCGATTTAGGAAATCTAGACGTTGAAGTGCAATTAGTTAAAAGCAATTATGACGGCTTAATTTAGGTTTATGAACACAGGCGCTAGATTCTCAAAGTTGTCAAAAATATTGTAGAAAAATATTAATTTGTGACAATACTCGCGTTTCCATAAGGAACCAAGTTCTCTTTCTTTTATTTCGCTTGATTTATCTTCTTTATTATATAGTTATATTTGAGGCCTTTTTAGAAGTAGTGAAAACTTTATTATGCCTTTATCCAGTAACAGAATATCGTTTTTTAACAAGAACAGTTGCATCACTATATATTTGATCTGTAGGCTCATTTGTTTATCCAGGCGGAATCAGACCCACGGGTGAGGACGTCATCATCAATAACAAATGAAAAAGAATAGACATCTCCATTTTATTGGATGAAGCCATTAATAAATAAAACGCAAGTAGCATTATCACTCAAGCTGTTCGGCCAACTAGAGGCCCATTCAATTCGGTCGAAGCACCAATACAAGAAGCGGTGAGTAGAGAAATCAAATTTGCCAGGTGTAAGTAGTCTAAGGGTTTTTTTGGGGGAAATTAATCACTCTTTTTGATGCTAATTCTTAATCCAATGCTGGATCTTTTCTTCTCTAGCTTTTATTCTTCTGGTTTTGCTCTGTTAACCCCGGCAGGTTTTAACTGACTAAGGTGAGTTCTTTAATTCAAGTTAAGTTTGTTTTAAGTTTGTTCAACTCAGCACAACAAAGCAAGTTCTCTGAACAAGTGATTCTCTAAGAATACACCGTGTTGACCTTTTTCCCCATGCTGAATTTAAATGCAGCAAAGTGCCACACCGTGATAGCTTATCGGAGAGACACTTGAAAATCACAAAGTATGGCATGGACCGTCAATTTTTTTAGACTTCCGCTAGCCTTGCAAGTACAATACTTTGGGTGTGGGGGTAGAGGCTCCTAGGTCAGTAAACAGGGATACAATATACGGTCCGTTCTCGAAATTCTAAGATAAAGAGAGAAAAGGTAAAAATCGAATGTACACTTCTTCATATTTGTTTTACTCTGAGAGACCATGCAAAGAATGAACGAAAGACTGGCTCTTACAAATTGTTGAATTAGTTGAAGGTTCTCATACGCGAAGCCTTGTATTTTTAGTGAGTGACGTGGCAGAACAAAGGGCTTACGGTCGAGCTGAATATCACTGAAGCTCAGTACACACTGACTTGCTGCGTAGTTTCGACGTGTCGTTTTAGAATGAACAATAGGGAGGCAATTATATTCTTGCCGAACACTGATGATTGAGTGCTTAGTATTGCCGCAAACTATATGCTTCCTGTTTATCATAAGTCTATCGAGTTCTTTCTTGTTGTATTGTCATCTAAACTTACAAAACAGTTAAAAGTAGCTACTCTGCAGCCATTTCTTTGCTAAAAAGTTCAAGTGCTGCAACGACAGGTCCAGAATGCAACTCCTGTGAAGCCGGTCGATGAGCGAATCATAATATAATGACCTTTGTTTCGTTAGTTAATTTGACGCTATTTTCACTTACCCGTGTCTTCTTCACCTTTTTGATATTTTATTGTCATTGTTGTCATGGAGATGCGTAATAAAATAGTCTCCTTCACTACCGCACTAAATTAGCTTTCACTCCTCTCCAATAAGGACCAATAAGCTCCCTCAGTTCTCCTTAACCCGGCCCTACCCGCCTCAAACGCTAAGCAAGTGTGTTCCCGCCCTCATGTTCTCCAGTATTTTCTATTCTTATCGACCCATAATGATATTACAAAGGTCTGCTTTCCGCTCTAATATATCATCACACTTATGTTCAGATGACAAGCGAAGTTTCCACCCCTTTTTGAACATTCCTGATGTTGATATCTAATACAAATACCCGAATCAATGAGAGCGTCTAGACATCTCACGCGATCCCTTGAAGTGAACAGATTGAATCCCCAAGCAAACTCATTTTCCAGGTAAGCGCTTCGATTCTCGTTTGAACTTTTACTTCAGTATCGGCCGGTGCAAAGCAAGTCGGCGAAAAATAAGTTCTGGGCGCAAACCGGCATAACGCTTCAATTTCAGGCGCTCACTGAAACAGTACTTCCTGAGTGAAAAACTCAGACGCAACCACAGGAAACAAAAGTTTTTAATTCTTGTTTCGTAATGTTTATTCCTGTTTAGTTTTGCAATTCATGGCGTGGTCATGCGTGATACTCACGGCTTTTGGCTGAATTAGAGTCTTTATCTCAGTGGAAAACCTCGACATTTTCTTGATACGGCGATAAGATTAAAACCCATCAAAACGCATAAACTGAAACAAAACCCAAACCAAACTAAACGGATCTGTTTCTACAAGAGCAATGACATTCTCAGCAGAACAAGTATACGATTTCAACAAAATTTAATCTGTAAGAGTCGAAATTTAAGGCTTTCTTAAAGGTAATCGCTTTCGATGGAAAAGCAGACATAGCATTTCAATGATTCGGCTCCAAATTCCGCATTCTTTGTTAATGGGCGTTGATCTTTCAGCCTTACTAGCTGGCGACTATAAATTATTTTGGCTCTGCAGAAGGGAGTCTAAAATAGTCGAGCTAAAACATATAAATGTGTTCAGTTGACAGGCGAAAAGCGATTATTTGCCTCAACCTGGAGAAAATTAAACAGCCTATAAAACACGTTGATGTGTTCACATAGCTAAAGTGTAATTCAATATTGGACAACTGAGTGACTTCATGTGCCGCTCAGAACAGAATCTAAAACGTCCATGCTCTCCGTGAAAATTAGTTCATTGGCGTTTCACTACTATTTCTCCGCTTTATTGATGTGAAATGTGGACCATTTTTTACCAATTTCACCAAACCTATATCTGTGAAATTACCAAAGCACATTCTGAAGTGCAGGAAAATGTTTCTGTTGTTTGATACATTTATTCTGATATTCTGATCATTGTGCAAATATTGGATTTCTGCCGTAATAGTTGAATAGGATGATAGGCCCTTTTTCTCATTTTGGATGAATGTGGAATCGAAATGGTGATTTCGCTCGAAAAAAAAGTTCACATAGTGAAACCATTAGTTATTTCTTTATTTTCCTTCCATCGTGTTTAAAAATAACGTTATTGCGGATTTCGGGTCTGATATATGACATACGTTTCTCAAGATTTGAAGTGTTAAGAAAATTTTCACAGAGATAAAGTAGTCCCTGAGTTATCGTCCAGATGTCATCATCTCGGTCGAAAAACTCAAGGTCCGGAAGGTCTGGAGGTGTTGTAATCAGTCGAATGGTTTTAAGCAGAGATCTGACGATTGGTTATTCTAAGAAAAGAAATCAGCATCAAATTTGTGAAGATCTTCTAATTTAGCCTGCGAACAAGCGCACATTGGAACACAAGCACGAGCAGCGTAGCCGCGAGTTCGTAATCAGGGCGCATACATAATGGTAATAGGACTGAGTGGAGTCCAATCCGGTCTGTAATCATACGAGTGATTAACAAAATCGGACGACCGCGAAGCGGGAGTCCGATTTGTTAATCACGAGTATGATTACAGACTGAATTGGACGACGCGATGTCCTGTTACCAATTAATCAAAACTAAGACAAAATTCGAGAAACGAACAAACCATCGATTGAGCGCTGAACGATTTTAGAACGTCGTTATGAATGTTGAAAAACCCAGCAGTTTAGTCAACAAAGTACATCGCAACTTCGCGCGCAAAATGACGCGTACTGTCCAATTACAAGCATGACGCGTACACTGTCCAATTAATGCTCAAATCGGGCTGCTGATAGCCAATCACGTTCGAGAATTTTGTTATAGTTTTGATTAATGGTGTAATTGAGCGGACGAGGAAGTGTGACTTTCTTGGCGCCTCTTCACCAGACTCCACCCCGCCGAATCGCTTCGCTTTACGCGCGATCGCCAATAGCGCGTGACTCAAAGGTAAGTTTTACAATAACTGCCTAATTTCTCGCGCGCTGATTTGCTTATTTCTACCGTCAATAAGAGTACAGACAGGTAAAATTTTAATTTATGCAAGCTTTCAAGTTCAACTTTAAGCGGTCAAACTGTCAACTTTTTTAACCAATGAGATTTTATGGACTTTGTAAGTAGCCAATCAGAAAAAGAGAAAAGCTATCGGGACCCAAGATCTCTCCGCCTCGGTATTAACCTCCTGCCCCAGACAAAATAGGTCTCTTCGTTTTCGTTTTAAATATCGGCTACATAAAAACACGTCCCAATGTAAAATTCTCACTGTATCTGAAGAAGGCTGGTTTGGCCAGCCGAAATATAGTACACCTTCAAAAAATCATCCTACGTTGTGTCGGTTTTTGCTTTTGTATTCTTCGTTTTCGATGTCTTCCCTCTTGTACTGTGAGTAGGGATATAGAACACATTTCCGGATATTTTGCCCTTTTTCTAGCCACCGATAGTCGAACTTTGCTCTTATTTTGGCCCTCCTTAAGGATGCAAACCAGCGCAACATACCCTGCACTTAGATTTTGACTGACACAATCTCTCCAGCGATTCATCTTTAATATTTCCAACTTAAAGCCACAGACCATTCCTAGGTTTAGAGAGTCAGTTGTTCAAAATTAGGACATTTTTGTTACACCCCTTATCTCATGTGACGAATTCAGTAACTTGTAATATACCTTCTGGGGTGCGGGGGGGGGGGGGAGGGAGAGTGTGGATATGCACCAGCTCCAACACACGTCATCATCTGACCATAGAAGAAGGTTGAAAACATCTGTAATGAAGAATATTTGCGCTCAAAGTTCAGACAAGCTATTTCACTCTTTTGTTTTAAGAGAATGGCAATTGGCGTTGCGGCTATTCTACTGATGGCGTTACTCGCACCTGTCACGCATGGCGTGACAACTTACAACACTGGAGCGGGTACACTTTACACGCTCAAGGTGGTGAAAGATGTGGCACTGGAACGTTCGACGACCAACTTCAATTATTTGACATACCTTCTGGTATCCAAGCACCCGCAGTATCCCAACAAGCGATCCTTGGTGCAGTTTGAGAATCTACCCACTGCCTGCCTCGCCTGCAACATCAAATCAGCCAAGATGTACTTATACTATAAATACGCGCACAAGGCTAGCTGGCATTCGATCTACCGGACCCCTTTCATTCCCCGTTACATTCAGGCTCACTTGGTGAAAAAATATTGGGTGGAAAGTCAAGCCACCAGCACCAAGCGCTATTCCAGCGTATCCTGGTCCGCACCATGGCTGGCCTTGGACGGCAGCGATGCAGAGGCCGAACCTCAAGATTGGAACCCAGTCACAATTTATCCCTTGCGCCCCGAAGGCTTCGTGGAGTTTGACGTCACATCTGCAATCAGGAAGTGGCGTGGCGGCGTGCCTAACTATGGCCTGGTGATCCGTGCAGTCAATGAGCTGCAAGCAGGAAGAGGCATCCGCTTTTACAGCAATAGATATAGTGATTCTAGCAAGCACGCCTATGTTCGCGTTCTGTGCTAAGCATGAAAAAAAGAGCAAGCATTTCATTCCCCATAAAGCCAGTGAGTGTTACGAAGTAGAGTAAATAACGACGATAACGTGTTTGGGGATCAATTGTAACTGCTTATAGCATTACAAATAAAATGATAAAGAAATGTGACAAAATTGTGTGTTCAGACTTTAATTAATTCTGTATGAAAATAGATTTCAATGCCATTTTCCCGGCATTTTCCATTTTGAGCAAAAACCCTTGTTTATGGTCAATTCGACGCGTTTTGGCTTTCGGCTGATAGAACATCGAAAGTTGTGCTGAAAGAGTCATTCTTAAAGACACAAGGTGTCGCCCTTCGTAAGAATTTTTGATTTCCCTTTACTTATGCTTTCACTGGAAAATAATCAAGATTTAATTGGGCGGTTGAACTCAAGATGAATCTAAAACGAAAGAAAGCTTGACTTTGCAGAACACTATTCAACAAGCTACAAGAATCCAGACAGCCGTGCTGAACACGAACACCTCTCACTGAATCCTTACAGGAGGTTTGAGTGTTAAATCATGGAGAACAAATTTATCTGACCAAAGACACCAAAGTGACGTTTTTGCGCGTATCATATCTACAGTATTTTCAGGCAAAATTCTTCTATCTCGGGTGATTTTAAAATTGCTTAACTATCATGTAAAAAAATCTGGACATTTCGTCTTAAACTCTTGCACCGGTTTGGATCCTGCACAAGGCTATCTGTGTAGTCTGAAACTTCCTCCCACCACAAATTTGATGCGGTCTCGTTCTCAAGTTCAAATCCCTGGGAACGAGGCTGAAACGAAAAATAAACAATCATAACAAACACGAGCGACATATATTTTTTCTTTTTGATCTTTTAAGATACCTGCAAGGATGTCTGCAAATAGTTGAATAGCTAGCTACCTGTTACGTTGTGTCATATTCTACCCAGGGTATTGTTATCCCCACGGCTGGTGTTATTCACGACATGGTAAGTCATAGGGAATCGCCCAAGACCAGGCGAAAATAGTAGCGGACAGCTAGATCAAGCCCGACTTACTCGCTGGGTGGGAGGGTGGGTCGCCAACCTCGTCGCTCTCGCGGCCTCGAGTAGAGTGATGGGGGTAAAACACGTGTAAATTCTTTCTTACTGTTCTTTGAATTTTATGCCCAGGGTATCAATTACCAATGCAAATCAAGTTTACGTAGTTCTTGCTGTCGGTCTGTCAGCATGACAACCAGATACGAACGATCAAAGGCAACGCATGCCCTTTAGGGAAGAAAAAGAACGATAACGCGGCTCTGGCTATAAGATCGAAAAAATTTCCGAGAGCTTGTCAGGGGGCAAAAAGGAGATATTTTCGCAATACCTCAGAAACATTTGCTTTCGATCTGTTTCTGCAGCAATTTTCCTTAGTTAGCAACTGCCACGTTCAGAAAAAAGAAGAGAAAGAAAGAGCGGGGGCAGCTAGTCGGATAGACGCGAAATTTTCGGACGAGCGATATAGGACGACAGACTGACAGATAGACAAACAAGCGGGCAGACAGACAGACAGACAAACAGACAAACAGATCATGGAAATAGAAAAACTAAGAAAGAAAGAGAGAAAGAAAGAAAGAACGAACGTACGAAAGAAAAACAATTCAAACAAAACAATAACAACCTGGGCCTCACTGGTCCGGCGCACTCCAAGCTTATAAAAACAATTACGTGTAGCAACATACAGCAGTGTCTCGCGGCAAATCATTGATTCTTCTGGGTCATCAATCTCGTCCAATAATTGCTTCAACTGTCCAAGGGCAGATCAAATATCATCAGTTCCCGATCAAGATCAGTCCAGTCCCTGAGCTCTCCTTTCTTCCCGCCCCATATAGGGGCTGAACCCGCAGGCGGAGTCCAGGATAACTTGCATGCGCATGCTCAGAATGAACCAATAAAAAATTACTAGGCCCCAACCTTCAGCACAGGTATGGCTTTTGCCAGGTTGGGACCGATGCTAGAAAAGATTTGCAGAATCTGTCAGCGATCCCGTTGGGATCCGTTCAAATAGTCATGCCTTCCAATTTAAATGACGGAAGTGAAGATGACTTACTCTTTTGCTTGTTTACAACTTCGTTAATCAGCTTCCAAGTTAACTGTAGATCATTTTTCGAGCTTTCAAATCTATTGTCGTAGAATAAGCGCTTGGCGATTCGGATTGAATGATTTAGCTTATTTTATACCGTAATGCACACGACTCGCTGGGCGCCGATCGAATCAATTGTTTGTAAAGTTTGTTCTTTTTGATTTAGTAATAGATTTCAGAAAACCTGGGGTTAACCATTCTTGAGTGCGGAACTTGTTCAGCTGTTTACCTTTGATAATATTTAAGTTCACTTCTTTCTCCAATTTTGGTCAAAAAAGGTCACAAATAGAACAGAGCGTTTATAACTTAAAATTTAATCAAGCAGTATCTCTTATAGCCTAGCTGAAAGGTGTGGAGGCTTTTACAACAACAGAAAGTTTATAGCAAGAAATTAAAATCAGCCCTGTTGACTGGAGCTATTGTGCAATGTTCTGACAATATTGACGTACGGGCGACAAGCTCTAACAGTGTAGTCTGGCTTCTTACCAACATTGTTTACTCTGAAATGTGGTTTTCTATTTTTACAACCAAAAGAAAAATGAAACACGTGCTGAAGGTAAGGCCGCTTAATCCATGTTTACCTTTGAACATACACCAAAATAGTGAATGTTTGATTCTCACTTATGCTCACTTATTTCAGATTGGTCAGTTGTGATATGTCACGTTTCGTCGACATCAGTTGTTTAAAACATCATGCTTTGATAGGTCAATATTTCCTTTGAGAATGGTTAGAGTTGTTTCTAGCACAGTGTGGTGTCTCGAGATGTCGTGTCATATCGCATTTTCGAGTGACTGATCTTTAGCATTCGTGTTTTTTTTTTTTGTTTTTTTTGGTTTTGTTTTGATTTGTTTTTTTTTACTGAAATTATATAATGTTTTTCTTTTTACTATTCGGGCCACTGTGCTCGTGACTTACGTTGGCAAATTTTATATTGTTTTGTCTGTATCGGACACAGCCTAGGATAAAACAATAGACAGACAGGAAAATATCCAGTAAAATCGCATTTTGTTTAATACCGAAAATGAAATGAGAAAGTTGTGCTCTTTTGATTGCATGTGAAGTGCTTTCGCTCTGTTACTTTGATAAATTAACTCTCTTTGTTCATTTTTGCAACAATAAAGTTCTCAATAGCTCCGGAAGACAGCTGTGTTATTTGAATTTTTACTCAACCAAGACGGTGTTTTATTTGAAGGTCCCCATAAATATTGGTGCTGCATGGAATAGCAGCTGCCGGGAAGTGGGGAACTAAAAGTTGCGCAAACTATCGCCTTCATATTTCATAAGTGTGGTTGTCACGGCCGAATCGTGGACGAATGTTTCTTTGACATGCTTCCGTGATCACGGATTGCGTGTGTTTCCTAAATCCAACACCAACATCGCTTCCTGTGCACGAATTACGTCGCCCGAATTGTTTACTCGAGAAGCACTTGTATCTGGCATAGGAGCTAAGCTAAGAAATGATAACACCCCAGGGGTCTGAATTGATCAATAAAATCTTTCCACGTACCTATTTCGACGAGTTACTGAAGTAGTGAATTATTTATGCTAATGTATTACAGAGTTGTCACGTGACTCAACGAGCACCTGTACCCAAATCCCATGAGGCCAATTTGCCCAAGTTTGGATTGTGTATGAGAATTCCACCGAAAAAGTTAGGATTTCGAACCGCAAGCATGGCCGCTGCAGTTGGAGTTATTTTATTTACTTACATTTGCCTAGTCTTTTTAGTTACACATAGGATATGTATGATGCAGTGCAATCCGATGTCTAGACCTGGTAAGTGGCGTTGAAATGGGAGAATTGTGTTAGTGTTGTTGTTTTGTAGCCCTCGTTTCTTCACGTCGATCCGTCGTGGCAACGGAACAGTTGTACAAGTTTCTAGCCTGTTTATATTTAGAGTTTGTGGTTTATAAGTCTAATTCATTTACTTTCAACATTTTAAGGTGTATACCAAGGCGATATGGGTGATGTGCGGTTCTCAGGGAGCCACGTACAGGTAAGAATTTGTTGTCAAAAGTGAAAGGTGTGTTGTGTTGGATAGACCAATGTTATTTTCAATGCAAGGAACTACCAGAGACTCGGAAATATGGTGTTAAAATTCTCACCAAAGTCCAATCACAAAGTAACTCCACTCGGCCGGAAGCCGAGATAACTCACTGCAAGCTACTTGCGTGGAGTTCGTCCCTGTAAATTGAAGATAACTGCAGTTTACTCGACCATGTTTGATGGTGGTGCACTCGTGTTTGAAGTCTGTCAAATTTCAGCCGAGACTGTTGTTTGGAATATAACTCGTTATTTTTTATGATATTCACAGAATGATGGCTCACATCAGAACAGAAGGTAGGAAAAATTAAGCTTTCTTAAATTCGTTCCGTACTTTATTGAAGATCTAGTCGTCTCGATATTCCTGTTACGAAAAGGGTGGATGAACCAACACCCCCATGTACTCTGAACTCTGTCATTCGCCCACGTTAACACGACGCTCCTTTGCTCCAGTTATTTTAGGATCAGTTTGCTTATTGTTCAAGTGTTTAACTAAGCAGTAGGATGTTTACTAGCTTTATTAGAGCTACAGTCGTCCATTTCATGTGCTGCAATTTGTTTGCGCCAGATCAGAGTGGCTTCAATTCGCGTAGTTGTTTTGGCAGGTTCCCTATTCGCCGTGACAATATTTTATCACGGCTATTAACGATCGTATATTTACAATGTCATTGCCGAATAATTCTGTACTCAGTTTCAATAATCTGTTTGAATAGTGATAAATTCATCGCAGTATATCGTAGAATTAGGCAATATTTGGGCCTAGATTTTCTCTAAATACGATTTTTAAAATGATTTCATTTCCGTCTGAAGGGTGGTGGTTCAGTATAAGGTATATCGGTCATTCTGTCCACGGGTTTTGTGCAGTTTTTCACGAATTTAACCCTTATTATGAATTTACACAATACTTTTTCCGTAATGTTATTGCACAGATGTCAATCTAGATGTTTTGGAGTGACTTTAAATTAAACAGTAATAGACAGAAATAGGCAAAAATACCTTTAATATTCTGAGGTCAAATCGTAATTTATCCCAACGTCGCGAACAATGCTCGGAAGTTTGAAAAAAAAATACGCAATAGTGTGCGAGCTGTTTTAACTTTCAACTCCTTTAACACTCTTCTTATGGAATATTTAATGTTTACTCGATCTTCAAATTTGCCAAGCAGTGAACTCCGGGGGTAGACTTCACTGGGTGCTATCGGCTGGCGAAGATAAATTAATACTAAATACATTGTTGTTGATATATTGTTGACTCTCATATTAATCTATGTTTCTTGATTCTTAATTTCAGAGATCAGCCCAATATTAGGCATATTCGTTTTGAACCATCTTATTTAGATTTCTATGAACAGTAAGTTTTAGATTTGATGTTATTTAAAATATTATGTTTACATTTTCATTTAAATATTGTGGATATTCAATAGTACATTGTCGAATGTGTCATTCACTTTGCATGTGATGTGTGACACACGACCAGCATCCTCTGATATTTACTTGTTGTCGGATATTTAATTAATGACCTAGCCACTACTTATTGCAAGTTGAACTTTGGATCTTTGAACAGTTCCAGTGTTAAAATTATGAACGATTGTGTGGAGTTATTCAGTGGCCGAAGTCTGGCAATTTAGAACGGTGTTCTACTATTGGGCATGGTAACTGAAGCTTGTCAAAATTTGTTTCTTGTCACTGGACCACTGGTAGTGGCAGTGGAGGGAGTAGACAAAACTAACTTGATTGTGTAGTGATGATAAACTTCAAATAATTTTGCGATGTATAGAAGTCACCAAATGTTCAGGCCATTGAAATCCATTGTTTTGTCTAGTGTTGTTTGAAACAGGAATTAGTGTCTTTCCTGTTTGTGTTTCCTTGTTATGTTTCCTTGTTGTGGTTAAGGAGGAATTGGTACTACTGACTTTTATTATAGTAATATAATACCTTGACAAGGATTAAATCCAGTTGTTAAACAAACCATGTCATTTTACAAAGACTGTCAAAAGTGGCTATGGATTGTTTTCTTTGTGAGTCTTCTTGACATATTTAAGTCTTGAAAATGTTATCAGTTTTAGTAAGGAGACATCCACCGCTTAATTATGCTTGGCATGAGAGTGTATTAAAATAATGCATCTGCCTGTTCTTGTGTTTTTCCAGACAACATCTACATGCTTATTCCCCATAGAGGGTTTTCTGTTTGTACTCCACACTCTCCCAGAAATTTTAGTTCAGCATTATACTTCCCTTTAAACTTTTGGCTTTAGAGGGGACAACCACGTCAACATTTCCAATGACTTTTCCAGAGCTGAGCACCAGGCAAATTGAGTGGCTGTGAAGAAGATTTGACAATCTAGGGAACGTTTTTCTGATTAAGAAGTTTGACAGTTCAAAGTGGTTTCGCCTACCTGTGCGAGCCAGTTGCCCTCCAGCTGAAAACCTTATTGAAACCCCTTCCTTTCATGGGATGAAAAGGCTTTGATCCACAAACTTCTGCAACTATGAACAGTACAAGTTTGCTTATTTTTGTAGTATAATATTTTTTCATCCAAGGGCAGTGACTAAAGTACAATGAGACCCTGTCATACAGTCACCCTTCCTGTTGTATGGCCATCTCATTGACAGCTTCTGTATTTTGCCGAAGTAAATTCTCAGTCAGTTACACTAAGCTATTGTAGCTCAAAATACTTTCAGATTACAAATGTACCAGCCATAGGAAACAGTACAATAGTACACATATACCAAGTCAATCATGCAGTCTCCTTGTGAACTGAGTTGTATTTTTGTGCAAGATTTTTGTAGCTTTGTATTGAGCACTGTATTAACCCTTTGACTGTCAAATTATTTTTTTTGGTTGCCATGCACTAAATGGACCTTAGTTTTGCTGAGAAAGCTATTTTTTACCAAAAAGACAGATTTCCCCATGATTAGGTACAAGAATGTACAATATTTTAATTTGGCGCACACATATAAACCAAAATTTTGACTTTTTTGCGATTGCCTTTTCGGCCCTTTTTCTCTCGCTACCTTTTGTGTTTCATCTTCTTTCTGGCTGCCGTAAAAAGTTGGGTGTTAATTATGGGCAAAGCCTGGAAATGGGACCTTGATCAATTATAGTTATAATAGGCCATTTTACCACCATCTTTGCATCAAAATTGATAACATTGTTTTTCAATTTGCTACGCGTATACATCAGAATGCCATCAATATCCAAAACCACCTGTTGTGCAGATAGATCTATCCTAGCTCTACTATTTGCTTATCAAGAATATCTGGTGGCATTTAAATTGATGAAGTCACCAGTGGTACAAAGAGCACAACCACTCAGGATGTGTATATGCACTTTTGGTAGTCAAAGGGTTAAAGAGGACCAATACACTAGATAATATTAAACCATAACTTGTGTCTGTTATTGATTTATTTTTGCGCTTATGGAAGTGATTTTATCTTTGACTCTTTTTGTATTTCTGTATACATGTAGAAACTAGTGATGATATTTCATTTCAGATCTGTGGGTATGCCAAGCATACGAACAGTATCAGTTATAAACCCACATACAGAGCAGAATCTTCAACTGCAATCTATATCTGGTAGCACTGCACATTTTCATGCTTCCTTTTTTCAATCAAAAGTAAGTTCTTTGCTTGATATCCTCAGTGTAAATATTGCAGGAGAGCCCTGATATAATAGAATTCTTAATCACCAAACCAGGGTGCAAATAGATTTTAGTAATAATAGATAGTTGGAACTCGTTGAGTCTTCCCTTGTCATTGTGGAAAATTCCTCACAGAATGGGAAAACAGCTGCATATTTTACAAAGTTATTGTTTGCCATGAACAAAATTAAAGTGGTATCAGAGCTTCTAGAGAAGTGAAATGTAAACAGTAGTTAGTTAGTCATTTGCGTACATGTGGTGTTCTTTTTAACAGTCTATTTTATTTTTGTCTGCAGGTAGTTCATCCATTAGGAAATACAACATTTGACATAGTGTTTTTAGCAAGACTAGTTGGAAATGTAGAAAATACATTATTTATTCACACCTCCAAAGGAGTTTATCCTTATCAGGTATGACAGCCAGTAATTATTATTAAATTATTAAATTAATTTACTGATACACAAATGCAAGACTTTCCCTCCTTCAAAGCATGCTCTGTTACATTAGGCAATGTTTTGGGGAAATAAAATGTTTTGAAATGCTGTTGTAACATAATACAAGTTGTGTAAGATATTGGCTACTTGCCATGAACATGTGCCATGTTGCCGTAAATAAAAATATATATATATTTAAAATTGAGATTGTATCCTGCTTTGCTTTTGTAGTTATGAGAAACTTTTCCAGGGTTCTGTCCTTGTGTCTGTGCATGTCTTTTGTGTAGTTTTATTGTCCAATGCATTTTGTTTTCATTTCAGGTTTTTGGAGTGGGGCTTCCAAATCCATACAGATTGCGGCCTTTTTTAGGAGCAAGAGTGCCCTTGAACTTTAGTTTTTCTACAATAATAAATATGCATAATCCCTATGACTCACCTTTACAAGTAAGTAGTTTGACAGGTCTTACTGCTCAGGAGTGTCTTCATATTATTGTTGTTCAATTAATTACAAACTATTTGTTTCAGAGTAAACAACAATGTGCAGCTATTACAATAATTACAACAGCATCTGTGTACCATATCAATCTTGAGAAGTCGATTTCAATATCAGTTTTTTCCTCTCTTTCCTGTGTCTCTTCAGTACTACTGGATTATTGTAGGAACATGGGTTGGATGTGTTTTATAGTGTCAATGTGATTTTGGAATCAGAGGTTACTTGGGATTAAAAGTCAGTAGACAAATAATGCGTGAATAATTCCCATGTTCCCCATGATTGTGTTTCTCTGTTATTGTTTCTTCATGTTCAGTGTAATGTTATCTCCTTATCTTTGTTGCTGTCTAGGTAATAGAAATGTATTCAAGTGGAGGTGATTTGCATTTAGAACTTCCTTCAGGCTTGGAGGAAGCACCACAAAAACATTNGCGGTTGTAAGATCTTAAAGATCTTCTTGTTCAAACTTAAATTTATCTGGAACTAATGCAGATATTTGAAAACGGTAAATGGAGTTTTTATTCTTTTGTGGAATTCTATGTGATACACCTAAAAAATCAAGGGGTAAAATTTGATCATAGTACCACTTTAAACCTCATATTTCTTTCATAGACCAAAAATATGGTAGCAAGAGATTTCACTGTGATAGTGTACAGTGAATTTTCTGTCTGATCTCGCATGTTTGTTTTCTTGTAGGAGATTCCACCTTATGAAACTAAAGCACTCATGCGAGTAAGCTTTGTTGGAAGAGTAGCCACAAATCACACAGCATTTATTCGTATTAAAGCTAGCCAACCAGCACCTTCCCAGGAGCTGCTTATTTTACCAGTAGAAGTAGAAGTTTCATCAGGTAAAAAAACATGTTACTTCAGTCTTCTCTTTACTTCTGTTCCAGTTTATGTTGTTGTTCAAATCTATCAAATACTATAACAGTGTTTCTTATGATGTGAAGTGTATATGAAATAATTCATATTTGAACTGCGGTTGTAGATGAAAGTGAAGAATGATCATTGCAGTAAATTTTCCAATTTAAGCAAT